CCCACATGGCACAGCAGACCTCTCCTGACTCGCCCACTGCTCCCCTCAGCAGTGTATTCAATAGATCTGCGTGTTCTGTTCCCTACTGTCTCTGGTGAATCCTTTCACCCCCACACTTCTGGCCTGTACCCCAGTTCTTGTGTGCATAAATAAATAAATCTAAAAAAATATTTATTTTTATTTATGCATACAAAAACTGCGGAATAGGGCAGAGGTGCAGGGTGTGAGAGGATTCACCAGAGACAGGGTGGGGAGCAGAACAGGTGGCTCTACTGAAATACACTGTTGAAGGTAGCAGCGGGCAAGACTGGAGAGGTCTGCTGCGCTGTGTGGGTCACCTCCCTGGCTGGGATCGAACTTGTGCTGCAGTAGTTGTGGACTGCTTCATAGTGCTGATTCTTAAACCCTTGCACCACCAGGGAGGCCCCACTTATATAAATTTTTAAATCAATTTATTAATCTCTATCAAAGGGTAGAGTTATTTTTTCATGGAATTCTTTTATGTACCTTTCAAATTTTGCCTGCCAGGATGTATTATAAAGAAAAATAAATTTTAAAAATCTTATGACTGCTTATTATGTCAACAGCAAACTGTACTTCATTTAGTTCAAGGCACATTCATTCATTCGTCATCTGTTCAGTTTTTCCAGGCTATTATTCTATTACCCATTACTTTCAAATATAAAACTATACCTTTAACCAGGCTAGTTTTCCCATAGTTCCCCTACATCCACCAAATTCAGTCCACTTAAACCCCTTCATTTCTATGCTCATATTACTTCTTTGTATTCTTTAAATCTCATTATAGATCTTCTTTTTCCAATTCTCCCAAAAGATACTAATGTCCTTAAAGTCAGAATTCGACTCATTTTAGTTTAAATTTTACCTTACCTGTGACAGTTTGGTATTCTCAATTAAAGTGTAAGCTCTTTAGACATAAGTGAATTGAAAAAAGAGTTGAAAAAGCATTTTTGACTGGTTTTTCTCAATGTTAAATGAATTTTAGACTAATCACTATTGCCAATCTTTGGGTCCAGGCACAATAAGTCTTTTAGTTTGGGTATGCTGACTTTCTTTTGCACATGATCTAGGCAACTATGATTAGTGAACTATAAGAAAAAGCCAGTGCTTAATAGAATTTATTTGCAAGTGACTCTAACAACATAATTTGAAAATTTGTTCATCAGCAGAGACAGCCTAATAACATATTCTCAAAGTAGTTTATAATGTATCTATATAGTTCTCTATCTGAAGAGATGACAAAGAAACAAGTGTGCAAACCATAATTAAATCCATTAGGCACAGTGTGAGAAATAATGTTTAAACAACATTTCAACAGCTGCAACACCCAAATTCTTCCAAAAACTTTTTTTTAATGCTTGAAACAAATATAGTTTAAGATAACATATATTGCTCCTATCTCATTTCTCAATTAAAATAAAAATCATTATTGGTTGATATATTTAATTTGTATAAGACAAGTGATGTTATTTTAAAGAACTAAACTAACCTGGCATAAAAATTATCAAAAGTGTTGGGAAACTTGGATAATCAGAGGCAAAAAATAAATCAATAAACCCCCCAAAACTAGATCACTAACAACTACACACAAAACTTAATTCAAAATGGATTAAAGACGTGGCTAGAAGACCTGAAACCACAAAAGGAAACATAGTTGATTCACTAGATGGACACCAACTACAGAGATTTCAAGACTCAATTTCAAAGGCATGGGAAACAAAGGAAAAAAAATAATCAAATGGGACTACATCAAATTAAAAAGGTTCTGCACAGCAAAAGAAACCACCACAAAAACAAAATGGTGACCGACGGACTGAGAGAAGGTATCTGCACATCATATGTCTGACAAGGAGTTGATTTCTAAAACAAAGAACATACACGACTCAATGACAAAAAAAAAAAAATCAATCCAAAAAAATGTGCAAAAGACTTAAGTGGATATTTCTCCAGAGAAGATATATAGATGGCTTACAGGCACGTGAAAAAAAATCTTCAGCATCACTTATTACAAGGGAAAGGCAAATCAAAACTACAAAGAGATAGCACCTCATCCCTGTGAGAATGACCGTTATCAAAAAGCCTGGAAACAACAAATGTCTGTCCAGATATGGAGAAAAAGGAACACCCATCCACTGTTGGTTGGAATCTAAATTGGGACAGCTTTATGGGAAATGGCATAAAGATTCCTCAAAAAAACAAAACATAGGCAATACCTATGATCCAGCAATACAGCTTCCAGGTATTTATCCAAACATGAAAACACTATTATGAAAGACTTATATACTCTTATATTCACAGTAGCCAAGTCATGAAACCAACCTAAATGCCCATTGACAGAAAGACTGGCTAAAGAAATTGTGGAATATATAGTCAATAGAGCACTACTCAGCTATTAAAAAAAAGGTGAAATGGTATCTTTTGCGATAAAATGAATGGATCATAAGGTGTTTATGCTAAGTGAAATAAATCATAAGATGAAAGTTTAAAGATGGTTTCACTCATTTGTGGAATATAAATAACCAAAGAAAACAAACTAGCGAAGCACAGCAAAAATAATTCTTAGACTGAAAATTATAATGGTTACCAGAAATGGGGAGGAAGGAGGATGGATTACGAAAAGGGATATGACAGGTATTGGCACTGGAACTTTGGTGGACAGGCTGCAATTCCAGCAGCAGACACAGGTGGATGAAGCACATATGTTTCTCAGGGTCCATGGTTACTGCCACTGCAGAAGATTGCCTCCTTGCAGACTTCTCTCAATCCTCTCAGGGCATTGTGGCCCCAGAAATGAGCTATGATCAGGAGAGAGCTCTGACTTAAGGGTTTGTTCCCAGCAACTTCTGTGAAACAAAGCTTCCCCTAGAGCCCCTATCGACAGAAACTGGTCTAACTAGATGCAGCAAATACTTCAGGTGGATGTAATCCTAGCAAGGACCTGCCTTGCATGAGACAGGTATGTTTACGTCACATAATACAGAAGCCAGTGGTAGAGTGGAGCCTTTTGATTGGGATTGCACAGATACAGATTAATTTGTGGAGAAAAGATATTTTAACAATACCGAGTCTTCCAAACCATGAATGTGGTATCTCTCGCCATTTGTATAACTATACTTTGACTTTTTTCATTAATATTTTGTATTTGCCAGCAGAACAAATACCTTACTAGATTTATATTTAAATATTCCATATACTTTTTTGTGTTATTATAAACTATACTTTTTTCATTTCAATTTCCAATCACTCATTGCTAGTATAGAGGATAAAATCAGTAGCATACCGCAAGTCTGCTACATTCACTTAGTTCTAGTTGCCTTTTAGTATATTTTTGGGGGAACTTTCTCAATAGACAATCATGTTTTCTCTGAATGGAGAGAGTTTTGTTTCTTCCTCTTCAATCTATTGACATATGATTTTATTTTACTTTTCTATTGGACTGATACAACCTCCAGTATGACAATAAAAAGTAATAGAAATGGTTGAGCTTCAACTTTGCCTTCCTTCCACTCTTAGAAGGAAATCAATCATTCTTTTACCATTAGCTCTGATGTTACCTGTAACTTTTTTAGTAGATTCCTTTTATCAGGTTGAAAAATTGTCTTTTATTTCTATTTTGCCTTTATCACATATGCTAACTTTTGTTATATGCTTTTTCTGTATCTATTGAGATAAGCATGATTTTTCTTCTTTAATCTCTTTTGGATTATTCTTTACTTTGCTATTTATCTTGATTGCTTTTCAAAAGTTGAACCAGGGCCTCCCCGGTGGCACAGCGGTTGAGCGCTGGGTTGCGAAGCTGCCCGCGGCCTCTGCAGCGCCGGTTCGATCCCTGGCTGCTCCCCGGCCACTGGAGAAGGGTCCCACATGGCGCGCAGACCTCTCCTGCCGCCGCTACTCCCCTCAGCAGTGTGCTTAGGTCCTTCTGCCTGCTCTGCTCCCTGCTCTGGCTCTGGTGAATTCTCTCACCCTCCTGTGCTTCTGACTGTACCCAGTGCTTGTATAAACAAACAAACAAACAAATAAATAAAAATCTGTTAAAAAAAAAAAAGTTGAACCAATCTTGTATTCTCAGGATAATGACCTTTTGATCACAATGTATTATCTTTTCATATAATATTAAATTTAATTTATATTTTGCTGAAGATTTCTGTATCTGTATTAATGAGCATTATTTGTCCATAGTCTTCTTGTACTGTTATCCTGTACGATTTGTTAAAATTTCTCACTGAATTTGTTACCTGTTTGTAGAGACCTTCAATGTGCTCTATCAAAGGCAAGGAAATACTTATATTTTGTCTCTCCTTGGAGGAGGTCTCTTTTTCCTTTATTTTGGCTACTTGATTACACTGCAATGTAGGTTCATAACATCAGTTATAATTTTGTAGATCAGTTTTTTCTTGTTGTAAGGGTAGGGATGACTCCATCTGAAGTAAAGCTGAACTTCTCCAGCAGTTAGTTCATTATGGTTTTTGAGTTTTACAAGCTGGCAGTAAAATTTATATGGATGGATGTGCAAAGAATCAATAATTGCCATAACACTCTTGAAAAAACAGAAATAACAAAACAGTGAGTTGTTATTGTAAAGATACACAAATATAGCAATGGAATAGAAATGAAAGCACAGTAACAGAGCCATAGAAGCACAGAGAAACCCAATCCTAGTACTGCTGGGACAATTAGATAGCAACAAGGTGGGGAAAAAAGTAACTTAAAGCTTAATACCAGAATGACCAGAAAGCATTTCCAGGTGTATTTTAGAACTAAATGTAAAAGACAAAACAATTCTAAACTTCTAGAAGTTAATATAGGATAATATGTTCATTAACTAGGGTATGAATGGAAAAGGAAAAGAATGATAAATTTGATTAGTTTAAAATTAAGATTGTTTATCAAAAGACACCACTAACAAAGGCAAGTCAGAGTGGGGAAAATATATGCGACACATACAACTGACAATGATTCATATCAAGTATATATAAATTTAGCACTTTAATATAACAACAGAAAAATACACAAAAAATACACCAAAAAGATAAAAAAAATACACAAAAATGGATATCTAATTAGCTAACAAATGTAAAAGTGCTCAACTTCATTTATAATCAGGAAAATGTAAGTAAAAACTACAATGAAATGCCACTAAATACTACCAGTAATTGCATTCCCAGAAAAAAACTTAATTCAATTATATGAACCCAAGAAAATATGCACAAAAATGTTCAGAGCAGAAATTATTTGTAATAATGAAACAACACAGGAATCAACTCAAATATCCATCCACAGTGAAATGGATAAGTAGCATATATTCAAACAATAAAATATACAGCAGAGAATATGAGCAAAACACAGCTACATGTAAAAACACACACAATCTCAGAAAAATAGTAGAGAATAAAAACAGTCAATAAAGAAGCAAAGAAAAAGTTAATAAAGAGGAAAATGCCATATTATTATTCTAATTAATATAAATTTCAAAAAAAAGCAAAACCACAATGTTTAAAGGCATAAGCTTAGGTCTTAAAATGCTTCATAAGGGGAGGTATGGCACTTATGAAGAGAAACACAACACCTGGGCTTCTGGCAGCTTTCTAATTCTTATGTTGGTTGTAAGCAGTTACAATGGTGTTCATTTTGTAGATAATTATACCTGTATACTTATGTCTTCTGTGCTTTACCGTATATACAGTATACTTCATAATGAACTAATCCCACTCCCCCCAAAGCCTTGGGTCATCGGTGAACTTATTTTTTTCTTAGAGATCATTCTAATGAAGTGATGGGATTATCTAAATTCTAACACACTCTTCAGTTCTAACTATCTAGGGTTTTTAAATTACTATTTTACAGAATGTGGCATGGTAACTATAAATATGAGATCATATCCACCACTAAACATCCAGCCACCAGCCACCACCAACCAACTGACCTCCTCTACCTGATCCATTCTCCTTTAAGCACTTAAGGAGCTTATTTTAAATTAATCTCTTTCTGGATAAAGTTGAGTTGGTTCAGTTACTTGCTTTTTGGTATTCAGAACTGCTCAGTGGTAATCTTAATTGGCCTCATCCCCCAAAGACAGTAAAAACACAAATAAATATCTACAACTTAAAGTCATTATTTCCTTTTTAGAATGACAAATGATTACTGTGTAACCACAGTACTTTAATTCATGATTTTAATTAGCACGGATAATTTGGCCCAGAAAATTTTAGTTTAGACACAGGAGCATATATTTATTTTTTAATTAAACTTTTAATTTTATTTTGAGATAGAGATTCATATGCAGATGTATGAAACAATACAGAGAGATTATGCTGTGCAATTTTCTCAATTTACCTGAAAGGTAAAATCTTGTGAAACTATAACATCACACTCAAGATATGGAAATCAATATAGTCATGATTCAGATCATTTCCATCCTCACAAGGATCCTTCCTCTATCCTTTCATAGCCACACACAATTTCTCCCTATACTCCCCCCTCCCTTGACCTTGGAAACTACTAATCTGTTCTTCATTTCCAAAATTTGTTATTTCAAGAATTTACATAAATGGGATTATATGGTACATAACCTTTCAAGATTGGCTTTATCATTCAATCTAATTTTCTAGAATTCATAAAGAGCAAAATACCAAAATATTATTCCATTTAATATAAATTTCAAAAAAATTCCAGGTTGTTGCATGTGTCCATTGTTTGCTCTTTTTTAACACTGAGTAGTACTCCATGGTATGGATATACCACATTTTATTTAACCTTTTCCCCATAAAAAAACATGTGGGTTGTTTTTGGCTATTATATATAAAGCTTTTAGAGGGTTTTATGTGAATAGAATTGTGTGGAAACATGTCTACAATGCTATATAACTCACAGACTAGTTTTCTAGCACCCTTATAGTTAATGTTCTATGAATATGAGTACAATACTGCTATCTTTACTTTACAGATGTCTTGCTTAACTACAAGACAAAGGGCATTTATCAAAGGTCATGGACCACTTCCTTATAAATGAGGATTTAACTAATGACTCATTCTTATCAGTACTTTCAGTTTTACAATCATTTTGCTACTTGACCTTGGGAAGTCCTTGACTCTTAGAGTCTTAATTAGACAAAAATACATGTTTTTCAAAGTATATTCTTTGAAGCATGAACTCCATAAAATGTTCCTAAAAAGAGGGGGCGGAGGGAATTCCATGCTCAAATAAATTTGAGAAACACTGAATACTATGGATATCTTTCTTGAAATAAACAAATGCCATTTTGGTGTACAAAAGGAAGAATCCAGTATCCAACTGCCCAGTTCAGAGCCCAGTTCCAGTGTTTGGTAACATAGCAAACTTCAACAAGGCACTTAACTTTTCCACACCTGAATTTCCTTATTTGTAAAGTGGAGATAGCAGTACCATACTCATATTAATAGAACATTATAAGGACACAAAATATTTGAAAAATGTTAGTTGCTGTTATTATTACTATTACCATCACAATCAGAATCATCATGCAAATTGTAATGATTTTGTCAAAATATATCTGTCCAAGCCCCACCCTGGGAGATCCACTCTCATTCAGTCTAGGGTAGAGTGTGTGTTTAGACAAAGAAGTAGAGATTTATATTAAATCATGTCCAACTTATTATTAGGAAAATGCAAATCAAAACCACAAAGACATTATCACCTCACATCTGTAGAATGGCCTATAAAAAAAATTGGAAACTATGTGTTGTTTTGGGTGCTGTAGAAAAAGGAGCTCTCACTGTTGGGTATGTAAATTGGTGCAGCCTCCATCGAAAAACAGTTTGGAGATTCCTTAAAAAGCTTAAAATGGAAATACCATATGACCCAACAACACCTCCCGTAGGTATTTATCTGAAGATGAAGAAAATACCAATTTGAAAAGATGTATGCACTTCTATGTTCACAGTAGCATTATTCACAATAGCTGAGACGGGGAAACAATCTAAATGGCCCTCAGCGGAAGATTGCATCGAAAAGTTATGGTATAAGTGCTTAATGGAATACAACCCAGCTATTAAACAAGATGAAATCTTGCCAAAATTTTGCAACAACCTGGATGGAAACTGAGGTGACTGGCTAAGTGAAATTATTCAAAAGTGAAAAGATAATTATCAAATGGTTACTTTCAAATCAAAGGCACTAACAAATCACAACAAAAACAACCATTAGATTCTCTGAAAAACAGTGATCAGCAGAGGGGAAGAAGAAGGAGGGTAGGATGGATGGGTAGAAGGCATCATGCTGATAGTGGGAAGGACACTAGAACACTGATGGCAGGTGAGGTGAGGCTTGTATTAACAAAGAGGTAAAGATGTACACCAAAATTTATACAGTTTGGTAAATCAACTTAAAAATAAAAATAGAATGTGTCTAAGACAGTACTTGAGGAAGGACTCAAACCCAGAACAAAATGCCTGATAGAAATGTGTTCTTACACGAATTAGTAAATTCTTTAAATTACTAGCTTTGTAGTTCTGCAAAGAGTGCAGTTCTCTACTGAATTTATGGTTGGGCTTAGCATATAAACTTATGATTCCTTGGTAGTTCAGTACAATTAAATGCAGATCTATAGAGATGGGACACATCATCTTTCAAAAAAAGAATTCCTAAATGTACCGATTACTATTGATATATAAAAATCTTATTTGTAAGTCATTCCTTAGCAAATCACATCTAAAAATAAAACATTTCTTTAGGAAAACAACTATGATTGCTATAACACTTGTAGATTTCACCACAAGACTGCTTATTACCAAAGATCTTCTTAGTGTCAACCACCAGGCAAATTTCCAGAACACTTGGGGAATCACTCTAGAGGTGGAGGCAATCTTTTTACCACTTCCGCAGCAATCCTCAGATAAGCTTTGGCCTGAAAAAGAACAGACTCAGTTGCTCTGTATTTCTCCACAGTAGACATCAAATTACCCATGAACTGTTTGCCATAGCTCTCAACTGAATTTAATAGTAAAAAAGGCTGATAGAGATGAGGAAATTCACTAGTGAGAAGATGCTGCTGTGTACACTGCGGGCAGGGCAGAGGAGAAAGGATTTTAGATTACTTGGAGGAGGACTATTAAGAAAGTGACCTTCTGAAAAATATATTTAGTACCAACAATTACTGTCAGCAAACTAGCAACCCAGTCCAGTCACAGAAAATTACATCTTCCTCTTCTGACAAATTGATATGTGGAGTTGGATACTGCCAAAACTTCTTTGGCATGAGAACTGTTGGTGATTTTAAAGAGGATTATTTATTACCAACCCATGGTTTACCTTTGAGAAGCGTTTTCTTTATTCTTTCTGAGAATGGTGTGTGATAGCAGCACCAAGAAACTATAGGCTCCTTCCTGGTGAATTTTGGGTAACATGCAAGAATTCCTGGACTCAGCTGTTACATCGTCATCCCTAGGATCTCCCAGAGAAGAGAAACCCTAAAAGATGTTTCCAAGCCATTGAGTGGGCTACAAACTAACCTAATGGCTGCAGAGTTGGTTCAGTTAGAACAATCATGATATTTGCATTTTAAGGGTTTTTAAAAAATTAGGATGCAAATATTATTTATTCCCCCTATCTAATCTGTAACTATTAACGTATACACTTATAAATTTACTTAGAATTAATTAAATGTATTAAATATATATTTACTTAAAATTGTGTACAGATTGCTTCTATTACTACTATTACAACTATTACTTATCTTATTTCTTCTCCTAATGTTAATGGATAAAATATACTAGAGTATCTAATATTTGCCAAGTATTATTTTCTTAATCACCACAGTTACCTTAATAGGTAAATTCTGTTATTATCCCCATCCATCGCCCAGATAGTCTTCTCCAAAGCACTGTACCTAGTATGAGGTGAACTGGGTTTTGAACCTTGGCTGATCAACTCCCAGACTACTGGATAAAAGAATTCTTTAAGGTCTGTTTACTCTGACTTTATGAAATGCTTTAAGTGTATTTCACTTCACTTCATTTTTAAAACCATGTTTGAGGCTTAGCAGGTGGATTAGCTTTATTTTACCAGGAAAGTGTTAAAATTTCATTTGAGTAATGTTTCAGTTCTCAAAACATGAATAAGGGCTTACTTTTTTTTTTATTGAGTACCTACTAAACCAAGTACTTTGCATAAATAATCTCACTTATGTAAAATAAGCCTCATTGACTCAACTTGATGAAAAAACCAGGAGTTGTTTATTCAAGGTTCAACTCTAAGTCCATCTGACTCCAAAGTCTAGCTCCCTCTACTATCTCACATATTAAGCATAAGTACAAAATATAAGTAGTTCTAACTGTAAAGCTTTTTCTAAAAATGGTTTCACTGTCTTCCATAGTTCACAAAAACAATTATTTTTTAAAAAAATGAAATAATATATACTTTATAAAGAAATATTTCTCTTAAATCTAATGTGTTGATTTTCATCCATGCACTTTTTTTTTTAAGATTTATTTATTTATGCATAGAAGAACTGGGGTGTAGGCCAGAGGTGGAGTGGGGTGAGAGGATTCACTAGAGACAGAGTGGGGAGTAGAACAGGTGGGTCTACTGAAATACACTGCTGAGGGGAGCAGCGGTTGAGACAGGAGAGATCTGCTGTGCCATATGGGGGTCAGCTCCCTGGCTGGGGATTGAACTCAGGCCTTAGTGGTGATAGAGCCAAGACTTAACTCCAACGCCACCAGGGAAGCCCTTAAAAATACTTTCTAATCTCCTAGTATCTCTTCTAGATATTTAAGCCTAATATTTTTTTGTGATGAAAATTTAAAGTTCAATACGGGAAGGAGAAACATCATTCTATAATCTTTAAGTTCCTGTGTTAAATTAGAGGCATAAACCATGGACCTCCCCGGTGGCGCAGCGGTTGAGCGCTGGGTTGCGAGGCTCTGCGGCGCAGGTTCAATCCCCGGCTGCTCCCCGGCTGCTCCCCGGCCACCAGGAGGAGGGTCCCACATGGCACGCAGACCTCTCCTGCCGCCCGCTGCTCCCCTCAGCAGTGTACTTCGGTCCTTCTGCTCCCCGCTCTGGCTCTGGTGAATTCTCTCAACCTCCCGCGCTTCTGATTGTACCCAGTGCTTGTATAAACAAACAAATAAATAAATAAAACATGCCTCTATAAAAATAAAAACAAAAAAAAATAATAAACCTAATAGACTACTCAGAATACTGAATGATTTGAAAATAATCAAGTTTGCTACATTTAACCTTTATTTTTTAATGGACTATCTCCAAGTTTAAACTTTAAATATATCACACTCAAAGTAATGGTTAGATTGCCATTTGCTGAGAAACCACTGAAAGTGTTTAATCATTACAATTTGTACAAAACTATTCAGACTGAATTTTTTCAGCCAATACATTATCATTTCAACAAATACTTTTTGGTTTTTATTGTGTGACACAATCTTTAGAAAATCTGTGGGGTATAATGATATAAAAGGGAGGTAGAATAGCACATTGGGGAAGAACTGAAATATTCCTTGCTTTTGAAGCATCTCAAAGAAAAATTCTTAAATATCTAAATTTATAATAGAAATAAACTAGTAAATAATTTTTTAAAAAGATTTATTTATTTATTTGTTTGTTTGTTTGTTTATTTATTTATTTATACAAGCACTGGGTACAGTCAGAAGCGCGGGAGGGTGAGAGAATTCACCAGAGCCAGAGCGGGGAGCAGAGCAGGCAGAAGGACCGAAGTACACTGCTGAGGGAAGCAGCAGGTGGCAGGAGAGGTCTGCGCCATGTGGGACCCTCCTCCAGTGGCCGGGGAGCAGCCGGGGATCGAACAGGCGCTGCAGAGGCTGCGGGCAGCTTCGCAACCCAGCGCTCAACCGCTGCGCCACCGGGGAGGCCCATAGTAACTAAATTCTTATTCACAATGGTTAACTATAGGATGTCTTTAAATGGCTTATTCTTAAAAGGCATAAAAGTATGTACTTAAAAAAATCTAACTTCAAATTACAAACAACTTTCATTCACCTCAAAGTACACATCAATGGTCAAAATAAGGGGGGGAAGGAATTGTATGGGGACTATAACCAAGATGAAAATGTATACATTGTGCAAAAATGAAAATGATGTAAAAAAATATATAAAATAAAAAATAAAAAGTACACATTTATGATAGTTGGAACTGCCAAACTTTAATTATGGAAGTTATAAAAGATTATGGTTTTTGCTTATCTGAAAAATTTCTAAAAAGAGTCTGAAAAGGAAATTTAGTATTTGGTACTTAAAAGGCAAAGAAAAGAAAAACAACATTAAGTACTACATTATATTTACTCAGAGATTATATTCTCAGCAACTCAATCACCTATATCATAATTGCCGACCCTTAAGACAAGGAAAGGACCTCTGGCCCCCTGAAAGGCAATTCAATGTGAATCCACTTTACTTATCCAAGGTTCCTGACTGTCAATTTACTCTAACTTTATTCACAGCCCATACAAGATTAGAAGAAGTGAACTAGAATAAACGAAGTAATAATTATGGATACGCAAAATAATAGGACTATAAAGTCATACACATTAGCTAAGAAAAGAAAGAACTATAGGAAGACTGATTGGGGCTGTTCACAAAGGCGCACAAAAATCATATCAAAACTGATGTACCAGATGATGGCTCAGTTTCTGATTGAAATAGCAAGTGCTACTTAAGAAAGAAGAGATATATAGGATTGATTTTATTTCTAGCTTAAAAAGAGTATATAAAAAGATTTTATGCTTAAATTCATAAAGCTTCAGCAATATCAAAAATCAATCAACTGGATACCCAATGCTGTTAGCTAATGAGACACTACTAGTTTTTCCACCTCACCTACCCAAACATATTTATTAAAATAAATGAAACAAAAATCCCATTCCTATATCCTACTCAACACTTTCATACTCAACACTTTCGTGTTATTGCTAGCCAGCAAGCTGAAAACTTTACAAATTCTCATTGCTCATGTGCTTCCTGAGAAAACTGGCTGGATGATGATTCTTTACAGATGAACTTGATTAGCTGGTACTTCAGAGTCAGCAGTGGTATCCCTACCATATAAAATAGTGAAACAGTGAGTAATTTAATGATGCTTTAGATAAGTTAACTCATTTTCGTGGATTGCAAATAGAAGGCTCGACTGACCCAACTTTTTATGTATTAAAAAGATATATCCTTTAAAAAGAAACAAAAATAGATATTTTTAAAAGTAACTTACCTCTTCACTTTCAGGCTGTGAAAACACAATCGGCTGGCCTGTATCTGACGCTTTCCTTATGTTAAGGTGTAAGGGAATATCTCCTAGAAAAGCCCGCCAGATATCCATTAGAACCACAAAAGTTTAGCTAGGCATTTGTGATTTCAGCATTTGAACTTCAGAAAGAAACAAATCTAAATTAAATCAATTTGAATCAACTTGAGTTAAAGCTATCTGCAAATTACTAAATCTCTGAATAAGGAATTTCAAGTGAAAATTAGGAGCAAAATACTCCAGGTGAGTGTAGCCCATGATTGTATTCATATATATATGAAAGCCATGTGGCAGTCAATTAAGGGATAATGTCTCTGATTTACTCTTTCTGGAGGTCTCCCAGCAAGAAATGGCTTAGAAGACATTTATAAATTATTACTCCTTGTAATATCAGATATAAACATACCAGACCATACAACAGGAGGAAAGTGAAGAAGAAAAGATGAGGAGCCAAAGAACTACCCAAAAGTACAACAAAATAATCTTCCTGGTGTTGGCAAATGAGTGAGCTAAGAGAACTGGTGAAAATTAGGCCAGACATGGTATCTCAACTATCTGCTTCTTTAACAGTTAGAATTATTTTTCTTTTATTATATAGTAATGTACATAGTATTATGTATAATTTGTAAGCCTGATGAGATTTCAGTAAATATCTAATAAGAGCCTTCCATACACACACTTGAGATCAGAGAAGTCAGATGCTTTTCCTAAGGCACATTAATTACTACTAGATAATAGAATTTAGGAGGGAAATGTTCTAATACATGGCCCAATAGACTCCTCCACATCATCATGAGTAAAGACTTTCAAAAGGCTGAGATTTTAAGTGCAGTAAATCGAGTATTAAGTAGAGAAGTAGGGGGTTGACTTGTATTGGCACTCAGCATTCTTAGAACCACTCCAAACCCATGCAAAATTATGGAAACATGTGTCTAAATATTTGTGTTATATAAATAAGTCACCATGCCAGCACCACTCCAGGCAATGTAAATAATGTGTAAGAAGTGTATGTTATAAAACTACAAACCTATTACAACTAATGCTATGAAGCACATGGTTGGAAGAGCAATCAATTCATGCCCCTTTTTGTCAGCAAATTTTGAGATCTTAATCAACTCTTTAAATCTTTCCTAAATGTTCCAAAGCCAAATGAAAAAATCATGAATATTTCAGTAACCATTTAAAGATTAACTTTTCAGGAAATTTGATATCTATTCTATAGATCAAGTTAAGACTGCAGTGAACTGTCACAGGGGCAGATGGAAAAATATGTTGTAGAAAATACTTAGAAGACTAAAGTTTTTTCTCTTGATTTATGAAATGCCATTACAGTAAGGAATCTTGAATGTATTTTTAATGCAGTGATGGAAGAGGGGGTAAAACTCCTTTAGGTAGCTACCTATTAGCCTGTTTCTTCCCTTCAAAGACTCAAAATCTTACCTATTGACAAAGAAGAGTAGACCAAGAAAGAGGAAAACCTTGTCAGAAAATAGATGTTACAGTGAGAGTAGCAATAAGCTAATAGTTGTATACAAAGAAGGATTAAAAGGAGTCAAGGTATGAAAAGTGGGTGAGGAGACACCTGGCCTTGAAAAGTGTCTCTGAGGGGATAGGTCTGAAAGAAGTAAGGGCATATTTTCAGAGACATAAACTAAGGAAGTTTCTGTGAGATTATCTGGCACTTTAACTACCATGCATAAGCTGTCTCTGTAGGTAATATGGATAAAGTTCTGAGAGCCATTTCACCAAATAATTGTATAAAACACAGTCCAATGGATGAAAATTAAATTTAGAGAAAGCCAGAGTTAGTAAAAGAACAAATAGGGTTCCTAGTTGTGGGTGATGGTGGGAGGGGGATTTTTCCACCAGCCAAGAGGCTGGTAGAGCTGCTTCCTTGATTTCAGTTCCTCATTTCTACTACTATCCTCTTCATTACTGGAGTCTACTCCAGTTCATGAGAGGGACCACATGATTGCACTAAAAGGAAGAGCTGTGTCCTGAGTAGAAACTCTAAATCATTTTTCCCATAATACTGTTAGACACAGCAGTCTACATCATTATCCAGTTTTTGTGATCAGTAATAAGTGTTTCTGATATAGGGTAATGGCACATTTGTGAGCTGTTGGGTAAATGTAAGTTTCATATATGAGACTGTTTCTCTGGGAGTTATGCTTTAAATTCTAAAAACTGACTTACAAAATCATCTCACCCATTTATAAATTAGGGAATTATAATACTGTCACTATAATTCAATAATGCCATTATAATTACACATTTACTTTATTATGTAAGTGAATGTCAATCTGTTATGTTATTATGCAGATTTGGGAAATTGAACTTTCTAGGTTAGTTAAATGAAAAACAGTTGCAGAATATAATTAGTGGCTATAATTACAGCAATGTATCAAAATATATCATTAGTATTCACCTGGTATTGTGGTGGCTGCATAGTGCAAATGCATAGTGCATAGTAAGAATAACACATTTAACTTCAACTTTTAGAAACTTAATTATAATAAAGAATGTTTTTGAAATTCCTTGATCTCCAAGGGATCTTAATTGTTAACTACCTAAAACTGACAATTCACTCTATACCTCCCTTTCTTAGCATCTAACATCTGTCTTTGCCCAGAACAGAAGCTCATTCATAAGTAGAATGTCAAAACATGTTTCCTAAAAAGTCCATTAAGCTGCTTATGGATTTTTTTAATTCATGTTTTATCTATAACCTGTGTTTTGCTCACTTAACACATGATTTCAGTTCTCTTCATAACACTAATTTTTCAGTTCAGCAATGTAAACATATATACAACATAAATTTTAGGAGTCATATTATATATACATGGCAAACATATAGAAAGATTACAGAAAACATAAAATATTACCTTTCTAGGGCAGTGATCTGATAAATTCAGAATTAACTGGGAAGAGATTTTATGTACACACCAAGAACTTACATTTCCAAAGTTTGCCACAAAAAGACTGGACAGGTATTTTCCATATATATATGTTTATACTGAGAAGTGTCTCCCCAACTTAGCAAATAAATTGGTGACCATTATTTAAAATATGGGGGGAGAAGGGAATAGGATCAAAACAAGGGTGGTGGGAATTATATGGGGACTATAACCAAGATGAAAATGCATATCTTGTGTAAAAATGAAAAATGATATAAAAAATGTATAAAATAAAAAAATTTTAAAACTATATATACAAAAAAATAAATAAAATAAAATACGGGTTTCAAATCAAAGTACTCAGACTACAAAACTCTTTTTAAATTAAGTATAGGCAGTTTTTATCTATAACAGGAGTTATCATAATTGACAACAAACCTCATATTCAAAAAAGCCACCTACCATGACTTTTTATTCTAAAAGGCCAAAGAAATCTTGGTACACAGGACTATGCCATACTAACCTAACTTAAAACAGAAAGTCAGAAGCAATTTATCATTTTCTGAGATACTCTTCATCATCATGTGTTATCCTCACTTTCCCTTCTATCATTTCCTTTACAAAAGAACAGTCTGTGGTCTTACCTAGAACATCCAGATTAAGGGTCTGTGCTAGTTTCCTTGCACCATCAGCACCAAAAATATGAGTTCTGTGTTTACATTTTGGACACTGGAAAAAGCTCATATTTTGGACAAGGCCCAGAACCTAGAAAAAGAAACATCCATTGAAATAAAAACAGAATTAAACTAAACCTTGATCTATTACTTCAACATGTTTTTAATGAGTGCCTACTAGGGCCAGTGATAATAATGATGACTAAGTTATGGCCTCTGCTCTCAAGGAACTCACAAGTTAGTGAGAGAGAAGACACATGTAATTAACTTAATAATATGGTACAAGCTATGGAGAGATGAATGACAGGGATCAAAATGTTCTGTGAGAAGAAAAGCGGAACTTCTGAGTTGCCCATAGAAAACTGTTTCTTCGGGCTGAGGGTGAGAAAAGGGATTGAGTCTTAGACCATCAATTCTAGGTAAAAGAAAGAGCACAAACCAAGTCAACAAAATTAACTGTGTGTGACGTATTTGAGGTGCAATCTTGTTAAGGGCCAAGGCAGAAGCTGGTCTGGTAAGGAAGGTCAGGGTCATATGTAAGGTACTAAATGCCATCCATGTGTTAGAGATTTTCTTCTTGAGAAAACAAAAAAACACAAAAGTTTTTAAGTTGAAAGGATGGTATCGAGGAGGTAGTGTTATACCATCAGACCCATATATTAGAATCTAGCTCTGCTAGCACTAAAGGAAAAAAATAAGCAGAAAGAAACACAGTAAAATAGTTAAGAGGCTAATTGTGGACAAGGCCTCATAGTAACATTTTACAGATATTGAATGTTTACTATTTGCCAAACACTGGGATTGGTTTTATTTATTCTTCATAAGAAATTGAAGAGATAAGAAGGGTACTTATCCCCTTCCCATCATTGAGAAAACTGACACAGCTAGCAAAAGACTGACTCATCATTTATCTGAATGTGTGAAACAAAATTTTTAAATCTTATAGAAGTATCCATCTCTTTCCCCAGCTTCTGGTACTTGACAAACATTTGATGGGTTAGACAGGATCTGCCAATATAATCCTTATTTATATTCCTTTTAATCTCACTTTCTTATTCACGGAAATGGTGGTTCCTTTCTAGAATAAAAATAGGGAATACAATTATCAAAGGCTTAGAGATAAAAATGTATGTATCATCTCATCAATTCTACCAACAAGATTAAAACTTTAGATGATAGTACTATTAAAATATTTGTATTAAATGAAAAATAGCAGTAATGGTCCACAATAAAACATAAAGAAGGTGATCATTGTGATCTCCTCCGTCTTCTCTCGCTTGGAAACCACTCTCAGTATATTTACAGTGCAAGAGACATTAACTGCTTTGTATTCATCTAGCTTTAGGTTTATGTGTCACTGCTTTGTCTTTCTGTTACACACACAGTTGTTTTGGTTCAGTTATAATACATGCCGTGCCATTTTTGGTTTTATTTTGTTTGTTTGGTTTAAAAAGTTTGTGACACTCAAAGCACTTGCAGTGATAGTGGTCTTAAAAATGATACCAGTATTTGATCCAGTTTCATCTCAACTATGTTATACCTGGACATTTTGATGTTTATCAAAGGTCTTTTTGGGGGAAGAAAGTAAAAGTTTGAAATGAATGGGTGACATTTTGAGTTATATTGGTTCTGAACCAACTTTTGAAAACTTAGTTGACCAAATTTTGGATCAAATGAAAAAAGTATGACTTTTGAAATCTCTAAATGTCTTAGTTCTCAGTATTATCATTTTTTATTGAATTTATTTCTTATTAAAATAAGTAGTTTCTAAGTTGTTTTTTTTTTACCTAACAGTATTATATAATTTTCAGAGTGGGTAGATGGGTTATTTGTATGTTCCTATACATCTGACATGTATTTTTGTCTCTTCTTATTATCATAGTAGTTTCATGCTACATTTATACCATAACCAACCTATGGCCTATGAGAAGCATGTAAGATAATTTATAGGCATGGTTAATGTTCATAATGTATTTTTCTCTCTTGATTTATATGTATGGTATATAACATTCAAAAAGAATTTTTTTCCTTTTTGGAATAGGATACAAAATGCAAATTTCACAATTTTGATAAATGAGTATAGGCAATTGTTTTGTAGTACTTTATTATACTGGTATCATGGCTTTCTTGGGTTTTTGGTTAGCTAATGAATTTTAATACAAAGACACTTGGGTTTTGTTGGGTTTTAAATATAGCTTGTATTTTAATTTTTTGGTTCTTTTCTGTTTCTATTAACAGAAATTAATATTAATATCATTTTAATAAATGTTATAATACCAATCTGAAAAAAAAGGTGATCAAATTTGTTGTTCTTAGTGAAAAGAGAGACAGAAAAGACTCAAATTCCTCACAACACATGTAAATGAAGACGAATAGTGAGGACCATAAATTTTGTAGCTAAGCATTTTCCAAGCATCTAATATATAAATACATATACCCTTTTGCTGATGCGAAACATCACATCAAATAAATCATGCTGTGTTTTGGTAATTCTGTACCATCTCCAGAAAACTAGAAGGAAAAGACATTTTAATATGACAGAGCTTATTTGTTTATTCACTACATCTCTATAATACACTCATTGCTTGGGCAGTTTTACTGCCATTTATGTTAAATGTGATATAGTCCCTGATTGTAGGGCTTCAAGTTAAAAATAAAAATATCACTCAAGAAATGGAAAAAAGAAAAACACTTAAACAATGTGAAGATATAGGTGAGGGTATATTCCAAAGTAGAAAGAATGGGAAATGCATGAATACTCTGGAATCTCTTAGATGCTCTAAGACAGAAAGGCATTGAGCAAGTGTGTATTTGCAGTGTGTGTGATAAACTTCTTATCACATTGTTGTTTATGGACTGTATAAATGTCTCAGACATGTTCTCTATATAGATTAAATAACTGTCACAGATATAAAACTATCACTAAACTCAGTATTCAATGAGCTCCAATTATATGCCAGTAACTGGGTTAAACACAAGGAATAGTATATAGTAGGCAAAAGAGACTTGATCCTTGCTGCCTTAGGGGAATGTTCTGTACTCTAAACAGAAAAACAGATAGAACAAGAAACAGTCCAAAGACCAAGCTACACTGAAACAGTTTCTCTAGAAGCAAAGTACAGAGTATGATGAGAGTGTAGAATAGAGATGACTCTCCTATTTAGTCTAAAAGTTAAAGACAAACCAGGTAAAAATAAGAAGGAAAAACATTTAAGACAGGGCCTCCCCAGTGGCGCAGGGGTTGAGCGCTGGGTTGCGAAGCTGCCCACAGCCTCTGCAGCACCAGTTCAATCCCCAGCTGCTCCCCGGCCACCGGAGGAGGGTCCCACATGGCGCGCAGACCTCTCCTGCCGCCCGCTACTCCCCTCAGCAGTGTATGTCAGTCTGCCTGCTCTGCTCCCCGCTCTGGCTCTGGTGAATTCTCTCACCCTCCCGCGCTTCTGACTGTACCCAGTGCTTGTATAAATAAATAAAAATAAATCTTTAAAAAAAAAAAACATTTAAGACAGAAGAGGGAAGCATATTTTCTTTCAAGGAACTATAAGGTCAGTATGGTTGAACTATAAGGTCACATGGTGTGTGTGACATGAGATGAGGCTAGATGTACAAAGCAGGCTTATAGGCCAGATTAGGAATTTGGGTTGTATGAGTGCAAAGAGAAGAATGAGGATTTGAGGCCAGAGAGACCACTATGCCAAACAGTCACAGTAGACTCATCTTTTAGGATTACAGGGTTTATAAATAATACAGAATGGAAAAACCTAAAAAGATTTGTCTTTGCATGATTGTATTCTTAGGCAAATATAAACCAAGGGCCATGTTCTCTGAAAGCAGTCATGGAGAGGTGTTAGATTTTAGTGCTGCCCAAAGTATATGCAATTTTCCTCCTAGGCACAAGGTTAGGAATTTTCTTCTCTGCAATTAGGTAAGGACATATAACCTGTTTTGGACAGTAAAATGTAAGAAGTGATATATGCCATATCTTTTTTGTGTGTGTATCATATTTTAATAAAACATTTGCTTTTAGAAAGACAGTCATGTGGAAGATGATCAATAATGTAATAATAACAAATAACCCAAATGATGGCATACTGGTGTCCCGTGAACCTGCATACAAAACCAATCATCTCTTTTAAGTAGAAAATACTCTACAGAAACAAAATAGCAGCAACAAAATTAAGATAAGGTTCTGGTGGGGAAAGTCCTTACTTTTTCTACCTGACTCCAATGAAAGCCTGAAATTAAAATCCAAACCCAGAAAAGCTCTAAAATAGCAGGATTCAAGATCTTCAGTGTCTTAACAAGGTAGCCATTATTCCACATAGCTACTGAGTATTTGAAATGTTGCTAGTCTAAAATGAAACATGCTCTTAGAGGAAAATACACACTGGATATCACACAGACAGTGTGAGTAAAAGAATGTAAAAAAATTCATTTTTTAAAGTTTAAAAGTTATTCAAAGTTTTTTCATTGAAGTGTATCATGAACACACAAAAGGAATACATCATAAAAGTACATGAATCATGAGAATGATTGAATGAACATATGATTAAGTATACATGTTATCACAACTCTTCTTATTGTATGCTCTATAAAACACATTCCCAAAAGTATAAACTTACCTAATTTCTGACACCATAAGCCTATTTTGTCTCATACTAAGCTTGATATAAATGGAATCATGCAACATATATAATTATATATAAAGATATATATTAATTATATATGTCTGTATATATCTATATATGTGTAGTTTATTTTCACTGAATCTTTTTTTTTAAAGATTTATTTACTTATTTATACAAGAACCAGGGTACAGGCCAGATTCGCGGGAGGGTGAGAGGATTCACCAGAGACAGAGTGGGGAGCAGAACAGGCAGACTGAAGAAATACACTGTGAAGGGAGCAGTGAGCGAGACAGGAGAGGTCTGCCTCGCCATGTGGGACCCTCGATGGCCGGCCAGGATTGAACCAGTGCTGCAGAGGCTGCGGATAGAGTCACAGTGTGGCGCTCAATCACCTGCACCACCAGGGGAGGCCCTATTTTCACTGAATCTTAAGAATATTATTCACTGCCTTGTTGTATCATTT